GATAAGATGGTTGTGAGCTGGTTGTACTCCAGAAGAAGTCGTTCCGGCCCTCTGCGGATGTTCGGAGGACCTACGATGCAGCCACACTGTCAGGCCAGTCTCGGCTGCGTAACAAAGCGCTGAGAGAACGTGAATCGAGCAGCCGGACTTGGAGCTCTCCGACCATCAGCTGGTCTCTGGCTTAGGGCCCGAAAGCAGCCCAAGCTCCTCTTCGCCCTGCTTAGTTCTTCTTTCGATTCATTCTCCATGTTTATTGAAAGCCCGAATATGCAAGAAGACGTCTCCGTAATTAAAGAGCTTTCTAATTTCATTTCCTGATCCTGACAAATAAGTTCTTTAAAAACTGGGCCCTCCAGTTGATCCTCAATCCTATGTGCTTTCCTACTTTGTTTCTTCCAACATCGTCTTTGCTTCGGTATTTCTTGAGAAGAGAGCAATCTCGTGTGCAAAACGAAGCTTCAAGAGAAATCTCCTATGAACTTTGTCCCTCTCTCGTTCGATCCAGCAACACCCACTTCAAGGCGGAGGTATGCAGCTTTGACCACATCTCGTCTTGTGTCTTCTGTCAGAAGGATGTACGAATCTCGTCTTCGTGATGTGCGGAATACGTAGTCGAGAAGGTCCAGGCGGTAAACTTCTGTCCTTTGCTGCTTCCAAAAGTTTCGATTACATATATTTTCGAAGATCTTTTTACGATGCTGTTGAGCAACTGGTATTGGCTAAGTCCTAATCCAAATCCTCCGACCTCATGTTTGCCTTCTTCTAGCATTCCGATTTTCGCGTTATGGTCATCCACGACGAGACTGTAGAAGGGATTTTTGCGGATGACTTCCTCAAATCCTCATAAAAAGCATCTGGATTCGAGTCAGCTACTGATGTTAGAGAATAGCATAGATGACAGCAATGGTTTTCTGATGCAGACGGAGTCGAAGGATAGCCAAGCTAGGTTGGGATCTCATGCGTATGGCTGAGATGGGAAACAGTTGGGTGCACAACAGATCCACGCCTCTAACGTTCCGTGATGGAACTTTCTCACCACGAATGGTGAATGTGCTATCATTAGCTGCCTTACTCCTCTTAGCGGAGCGTACTAATCACCACAGGCAATTGCTGACCTATGTGGATAAGGGACCACTTAGCGACTGAATCAGCCAGACGCCTCTCGGCAGTACCTTTTCTACGCTGGGTATTCGGAAGGCCGGAAACGTCGAACACCTTTTCAGCTTGGGAGACCCTGCTAGAGGATAAACCTCAACTTTACTTCGCAGTTCGACATCCACAGTCACCTGGGATGAGGCGTTAGATGCCCCGACGCTCCGTTGGGTATTATTCTGCATAAATAGCATTGCCTTCAAAAACTAACGCTTCATCTGTACGAAAAACAAACCAAAGATGGCCGCTCAAAAACTGGGTTTTAGGTCGCTGCTACCTGAGTTACGTCCATGGAACAAGATTACTGGTATGAGCCCTGTAGAACATGAGTATAGTATTTTTTTCAAACTCAAAAATTTTTTGAAACGGAAGTTTTGAAGCCATTTGTAGCATGAAAATACAAGTCTCACTCTACAAGATGTTCATTTGGCTTATCCACTGATTCGGGTTTTGTAAAATTAAGAGTGTT